TCCAGTCCCCCTCCCGCCCGGCTCCCTCCTGCCCTCGCCCGGGAGGTGAGTGTCCGAGCGGCCACGTGTCTGTCCGGCGGGGAAGTCCCAGGGAGCGAAGAAGTCTGCCTGGCCGCCCGCTCCCCCTCCGGGGTATAAATCTTGGGGACCGGAAATACAATAAAACTTCACCGTGTTGATGAACTTCAAACGGTTTACATCCCCTCGCGTCCTGAAAAGACAGACGGCCGGGGGCGGGTTACAAGGCAGGGGGAACAAATTTACGAGCCGCACAATCCCCCGCCTCGGTCCCCCCCTTTTTCCCCGCTGCAGCAGACTTTGCATCGAGAGCGGCAGCCGGTCCCTGGGCTCTGCCAGGCGTGCCCTGCGGGCCCCGCGCACGTCACTGCGTTGGCTCCCAGCCCGAATGGGACCCCCGGATCTTCACCAACGCAGTTAGGCACCCGGCCCTTCTAGGCTACAGCCCGGGCTCTGCCCACCACGCCCCGGGCCGCCGTTCTTTGCATCCGTCCGCTGAAAGCGGGTTTTTTGTTTTTTTTCTCTTTCTGTCTCCAGCGGCCAGGCCTTGGCCCTGCCCGGCCCGTGTGTTGCCAGGTACTTGCGAGAAGAGGAGAGGGGTCGGGGCCTGAGTGGGCAGGGGCTGCTGGAGGAAACCCACCCGAGGGTCTGGTCTCGGGGAAGTGGAGTGACGGCCAGCGCTGAGTCGTGTCCAAACCATCCTGTGCCGAGCTCCCTCCGCCGTCTCCTCTCCGGCTCTTCCAAAGCCTCGAGATCAAACAACAGCCACCGCCACCTGCATGTCCAGGGCCCTCTCCAGAGCACCATCGCTCTTTTCTACTCTGGTGTGGTTTTTATAAAACTTTGTGGAATCCGCATTTGGAATCGCTATTAGGCCTTCCTAACCCAAAACTAGGAAAAACCGCTTTGCGCCGTGGGTCCCGGATAACTGGGAGCGAAGTTAGTGGTTTCCTGCTCACTCGGTCTGCTGAGGGGCCTGGTTAGGTGCGCTGCTGGGTGGCAGCGCGAAGGAATTTGAGCACATCTCACAGTTATTCACCCGCGAAATGCCAACGGGTCGGGTCTAAGAGGCACCGGGGAGCTAAGATGAGCTCAGGCTCAGGTCGGGCTTGGGTATAAGAGTGGGACCCAGCTGCAGACTCAGGTGGGGATTTGGTGCCCTGAGGGCACCTTCCCAACACCCCCCCCACACACACACACATGGCCTTCCATGCCCCTTCCTTAAAACACACACACACACACACACACACACACACAACAACAACAACAACAACAAACATAGCTTGTAGAACTGAGAACTGTGGGGATTTCTTTCTCAATGGTTAAAAAGTGGAATGGGCAGAAAAATACTAGGCTGCAGTCTACAGTTCCTGAATTTTCTGAAAGGCTACCTCTGATGTAGGCAGTCCCACTCTGCCGCAAGGGGTCAGGGGGACCACTGGCCCCTTCCTTGCACCAAGAAGGAGGAAGAGGGGAACCAATTAACAGCTGGAGGACAAGTAGCTTGTTTCCATCCCAACACTCATAGTCTCGGACAGTGATGGCGAACCTATGACACACGTATCAGAGGTGACACGCGAACTCATTTTTTGGGTTGATTTTTCTTTGTGAAATGGCATTTAAATATATAAAATAAATATCAAAAATATAAGCCTTTGTTTTACTATGGTTGCAAAGATCAAAAAATTTCTATATGTGACACGGCACCAGCGTTAAGTTAGGGTTTTTCAAAATGCTGACATGCCGAGCTCAAAAGGTTCGCCATCACTGGTCTAGGATATGCGTGGGGAGGCCCCTGCAGCTCCCCTCCTCATTATTTACCCGAACTCCCTCACTTTGCACTTTATCATGCTATATTTTTATTAAAAATACTGTGATGGCAGCCACTGGCAGGAACCCCTCCCCTCAGGATTGGCCTCTGGGGACTGTTAGTGACGGGCAGAGGGCAGAACTGAGGGACCAGCGGTTTCCACACCATTCAAGACGTTATTACCCAGGCCCCAACCCACCCCAGGGGCCTGCAGTGTGTGTGGTGGGAGGGGGGGCAGGTCAGTGGCTCCCTGGGCCAAGGAAAGGGGATTGAACTATTTTACTCTTAGACTCTAGACAATTTGAAGAGGCCACGGCCTTCGAGTGACATATAAGTTTTGCATACACTTTTCAGGGGCTCTGTGGCTTTCCCCCACCCCCACTCTCAGGACCCCGGCCATGAACCCCAGTTTTAAAAAGGAAGCTCTCTGCCTGTCGTGGAACAACAGCTCAACCCCATTCCCAGAGGCGACAGCCAGCCTTCTCATTCCCAAGGAGTCAACTTTCAAATGGCCGGCACAGACCGCCACCGATAGGGGCGCTAGTGCCCACAAGCACCCTCCAGTCTCATTCATCCACTAGTGGAGCTATGGCCATTCAGCGAGTAAAGGCCACTTAGACAATGTGGTTGTTTTTTTCACCCTCAAAAGTTTTCTGACTGCTTTCCCAAAAGCACGTCGATCTTCAAATTATTCAGAGAATTGAAAATGTAGCTAACCACGCTGTCAGATTTCGGGGTAACGGTTCCCTACTCCCTCCCTCCGTGAAGATAAAGCAGAGTTTAGCATAATTGGAGGGGGCTGGACAATTTGGATGGTGAGAGGAGGCAATATAGACACAGAGTGCAAAACACAGGATCCTCAAAGAAACGGAAATTGACACTCGTGAGAGTCACAAGAATAAATATTTCTGGGCCTTTCTGATCCCTTCTTAGGGTTCGTTGGTGGGGGCTGGGGGGGGGGGGTCTCAGAGAAGTCAGAGGTGCCAGAAGCCGCATCCGTGAGAGTCGACGAGCTGAATTCCCCCTCTCCCCGCCCCCTCCCACCCCCCCAATTTCTGACCGAGGCTGGAGTAGCTCTATGGTCGTTGGCGGGTGACGCTGAGGCCGCGGCTGACCTCTAGGCGGCGCCCTGGCGTCGAGTCTACGCTGAACTAGAAAGATCTTCCTGCAGCTCCGAGTCCCAAGCCAGGTGAAGGGTGAAGGGTCTAGTTCCTGCAGACTCACTGGGCTTGGCCGGGAGCTGGCCGCTGGTGTGTCGCCTTTGTCGACCTCTGCCAAGCGAAAGAAACACCATTAAACGGGTGAAGGCTGGGAAAGGAACCGACTCCATCCGCCCCTTCCCCCTCCCCCCATCGGGAGCCTTCCACAGACCAAATCTCCTTTGATCTCCACAGTAGCCAGCTCAAGGGCAGCGCCAGAATCTTCAACACCCCCCTTCCCTAACCTACAAAAGGAAACACGGAGGCCCCACGTGGTTGGCCAAGATCAGAGCAGCTGTTACAAGTGGCGAAGCAGACCTGGAGGATGTGTCCTCTCCTCGAATGGAATGTTCCTACCCCCAGACTATGAGGACCTGAGCAACGATGTCTTTTTTGTAAGCAAGATTCATTTCCAGAGAGGCAGCCTGTGTCGGTTGTCTGTGTTGGAAGTTAAGGGGTTTCTGGGTCTGAGATTTGGGGGAGCATATAAGGGAACTGGAAGCCACCATAGGAGCAGCTCAGCGAGGATCGGGAGCCAAGACAAGTGCGGCCCCTCCCTTCCAGGACATGGCCAGCCTATCACCTCCCCGGCTGTGTGTGATTGCTGGCAAGTGCCTGAGGCCCTCACAGGCCCAGATGAAAAAGACCTTTAACTGGGCTGTTGTGAGGTTTGAATGCTTTTATGGAAGAGGCTCTGGCGACTAAGAGAAGGTGTTGAATACCTGACTGTCCCATAAACCAAAAAGAGAAGGTCATTTAGGGC